GAGAGAGAAGAGAGGAGAGAGAAGAGAGAAGAGAGAAGAGAGAAGAGAGAAGAGAGAAGAGAGAGAAGAGAAGAGAGAGAAGAGAAAAGAGAGAAGAGAGGAGAGGAGAGGAGAGGAGAGGAGAGAAGAGAAGAGAAGAGAAGAGAAGAGAAGAGAAGAGAAGAGAAGAGAAGAGAAGAGAAGAGAAGAGAGAGAAGAGAGAGAAGAGGGGTGCTGGTCTGCAGAGCCCTGACCCCAGAGATGAGCTCCTCAGTCTGTCATTCAGAGTTGATGCCAGGTAGAGTTCCCAGGGTGGAGCTGAGCTTTCTGAAGTACAATCTATTTCGTGCATCCTTCCTATAGCCTATAAGCCTGTCCTTCCTATAAGCCATGTAATTTCCAAGAAAATCACTACTCTCAGTGAGAGGAGAGAAGTATTTAGGGCTTGAACATCTGGCAAGGTCAGAGATATAAGGTGTTTCCTATATTTTTGAGATTTTTCAGGATATGGAGGAGAATCTGTAGCTAGGTGTTCAGTGCTTGCTGGTTTCTGAGTTTGCTGTGAGTTGGAAGAGGGATATAAAGAGCCTGTATTCATTCTTGAAAGAAAAATGGGAGAAACTGAGGTTGGCAGGTGTCAGCAGAGTGAATGCTGTTACAGTTTCTGTCTAGATGTCCCCTCAAAGCCTCATGCAGTCATGGGGGCCAGACTTTTTTGATGGTAGCTGAATCTAGAATTTGTGACTGATTCATAGCGCAATGCTGAGATTATAGATGCTGGGGTTAAGGCTGAGTGATTTCTCAATAACTTCACAGACTGAGTTGGCACCTAATCCCAGCAGTTTGGATAAGATAAAAGGGGCAGAAAAAGGTTTGTTTTACTCATTTTGCTCTTGCTGGTTTTGCTGTCTTTCCCCTCCCCAGCCACCAAGAACTGTTGCCCCTCTGCCGTGTGTCACTCTGTCTTGGAGCCAGACAATTATGGACTGGAACCTCTACAAACTGTGAGCTAAAAAACCTTTTCCTCTTTAACTTTGGGTGTTGCGTATTTTGTCCCAGCAATGAGAGAAAAATAACTAAGCCAAGCAGTAATTTTCTTAAGGGGCAGCCTGTCTTTCCCAATCTCAGAGCCTTACTTTATGGAGGCATCCTATGGCAGGTCTGGGACATTCCATTGTCCTGTATGCAGAAGTCACCCAGAAGAACCAGAGATATCCAGTGACACATCTCATGGTCCTGTTTGGGGTCCCCAGCTTTCTACAAGCAAAGGAGCTAACACCTAGGGTCACCAGCCTCTCCAAGTTTCCTGAGTAGCTCTTTCTTTTCCCTTTTCCTGCATTGAGCTGCCATGTTCTTTGGGGAAGGTAGGGACCTACAGGGACTCCTACATCTTCTGTGGCACAGCAGCTGCGTGCACAGCTGTTATCTCTGCTCTTCTTACCTGCTAGCCAGCCAGAAATCCCACCTCTCTAGCATCTTGTAGCTTCAGTGGACCTCCCAAGGGCTGGCTCGGCCCTTCCAAGGTCAGAGGCAGATTGGGCCTGATTAGTGCCTCAGAGCACCAAGGCTGACTAATCTGATGATCTGACACATTCATTTCCTGAGGGATTCTGCAGATAGCACACCAAAGTCAGGTTAGCAAAAACTGTAAAATCACTCTGCAATAACGGAAATATATTTTTAAAGACCAAACTATTCTTTATGTCTTGGCTTTCTTTTCCAATTTAGGTCTGGCAGATTAAACTGTATTTGTTTTGTGAAGCGCTGCTGAGTTGTAATTTAATTACATATGTGATGATATATAATTATTCATTATGATGCTAAATTGAAGCAATTTAGAAATAACACTGCATGCTGCACAAAGCAATTAATTACGCAAATTTAACTTTTTATTGTAGCTTATCTTGTAAGGGAAAGGACAAGCAGTTAAAACTGTGTGAGTTAATAGAACCTCTGCATTTCCAAGACTTTTGCGTATCTCAGCCCACACTTGGCACCTGTAACTTATTCATTCATTACATGGCAGGGAAGCAGGGAAGGAGAGGAGAAAGCACCTTCAGCAAGTGTGTATGTAAGATTCCTCCCAGCCCGGACACCACCTGACACATTACCTTGCTCCAGTTTCCCACTAGCCAGCCGGCACACGGGCGGAGGTGACATTTCTTCGCAGGGTCGGGCTTCGGGAGGGCCGCACAGTCAGTGTCCACCTGCGTGCTGCACTGCACGCTTCTCCAGTAGGCGCCCAACCCGCACGTGGTGGAGCACTGCAGACATGAGGAGAGAAGACAGCGGCTGAGCGCAGCTTTCATCACCAGGACCCGGGGGGAAGGGGCTGTCTCTGCCCGCTGCTAAGACAGCCTGCAAAGTGTGCGAGTGAGATTAGTGCTGCGGCCCACACCCACACAAATTAATCTAAGTCTCTGGGTGTGAGGCCTAGGGACCAGTATCAAAACATGTTTCCCCAGCTGTCTTTAGGAAGTGGTAGAGTTGAGAATCCGTGACTTATATGTAGGAGAAAAATCTAGTGCAAATAAAAATATGTTTGCCTATAGAATTTCTCTTGGCATGAAGACCTCGGAGGTGGCAGACCCATCGCTATGTTTCATACCAATGCTGCTCAGAATGGATGTGAGATCCCAGCAGCTGCTTCTTTCCTCATAGCCATCTAGTCCTGCAATGGTGCCATCTCACTGAACCCTTTCTGTGTGGGGTAGACTGGTGTCATGCAATGTAGATAAAGGGAATAAGCTCAGAGAGTTGGCTTGCCCAAGCAGTAAGATGCATTTCTGCCCCCCACTAATTTCATATGATGTCCCTTACAGCGGTGCTCCTTAATCTCTACTGCCAATAAGAAACACCCAAGGTCTTGCCAAATGCGGATTCTGATACCGCAGATCTGTAGTGGGGCTGACATTTTGCATTTCAAACAAGACCACAGGGCTGGGAATTTAGCTCAGTGGCACAGCGCATGCCTGGCAAGCACAAGGTTGTGAGTTCAGTTCCTGGTACCAGAAGCAAACAAACAAACAAACAAGACCACAGGTGATGTCATTGCGTTTGGCCCTCAGACCATGCCTGGACTTGGAAAGATGTTACAGAGAGATATTTTCACTGCTTGATCCATGGTAGTGACTAAATCGGTCATCTTTTGCCAATATGTATAGCCCATTTCTTTCAGGGTGTTTTCATTTATTTATAAACCTTAAATATTCCAAGTTTAGCTTAGGGTCACCTTGAAGATTATGCAAAATTTTGCTCATAATTTCTTCCATTGTAACTGCCTTATTCTTTTTTTTTGGTACTGGGAATCAAACTCAGGACCTTGCACTTGCCAGGCAGGCACGTATGCTGCTGAGCTATATCCCTGGCTATTTTGTAGGGTTGATTTTCCTTACTTCCTTTCTTCTACTTATCTTCAGAAGAGGTGTTGTCTAAGCACACATGAAACATAAGGTTACTTTTAAAAGATGTTGAAGAAGTTCCACTCTGAATGTTTCTTTTGATGAGTTATCTAAACCAACACAAGCCTTATGTTTCTTTTGCTGCATCTTCATCCACCATATAATTTTTGTTACATTTAGTGCAAATTCTTACTATATATATATATATATATATATATATATCACATAATAGAGTCCTTAGAAGCAGAAATTGTGGCATCATAGAAAGGAAAAAGTAGAAATAGCCTATGCCATCATCTTACCCAAAGACTTATTTATATAGAGGCGGTCTTGTCTCTTCCTTAAAATTCTTTAGAATTTGATTTGTGTCTTTCATAAGCTCCTTTCCTTCTCCTTTGTACCACATCCATGTAGTGGAGCTGATAACCACTGAAGTGCATCAACACAGAGTGCACCAGTGGTCCCGCTCTCCATGCTCCCTTTCATTGATGCCCTTTGCAAAAGGACTTCATTGCTTCTCTCATGAAGAGATGAAGTCTATTTCCTCAGCTCTTGAGCTAAGGCTGTTCTTTGTTTTGGCTGACAGGATGCAGTGCATGATGTGCTAGTTCCCAAAAGGTCTTACTTTTTGTCCTAGCCCTTCAATCCCTGCTTTACCATGAGATTAAACCTGGGCTACCTGCTGCTGGGGGGTGAGAGTTGATGTGAAACAGACCCAGGTAACCCAGCCCAGGCCAGCCCAGACCAGCCAGCTTTCCGCTGACACTGCAGCAGGTGCCTGACAAGCCAGGCTGAGATCAGTAAAATCTTTCAGTTGAAGGTACAATTACAGTTCTGCAGTTGCTAACAGTGTGATCTTTCACAGTTTCCCAACTCTCTGAAGCCTGTAAAACTGATGGTAATGCTAGGACCTCCCTCCTTCAGTGGGTTGTCGTAAGGACGAAAGAAGACTTCCAAGTGCGATGCTGCACATATAGTCAGTGCTCTATCTCTTAAATGCCACACAACTGTGAGCACAGTACCACAAGCCCCACTGTCCAGATACTCGGGATCAACAGAGTGCAAGAGCCACACTGAAGGTCATACAGACAGAATACTGTTAGTTGCATATTATGATGTAGAGGGAAAATATGACATTTGGCCAGATCCAGAAAAATTGTTGAGAGCAAATTTTCAGGCCAATAATGGTCTTGTTAAATCTCAAGTGATGGCTGCAGTTGTTTATACCATGTTTATATTACAAATACACGCACACTGTCAATGAGACTCCATCTAGTACTACTCATGAACAGAAATTTGTTTCATTCTTTTGATAGTTTCTATTTAGGCAAGAAACAGTCCAAAGGCAAACTGAAAAGTGGAAGCTTGTGGAACATAGTAAAAGTAAAAGTGGGATTCTGTCAATTAGAGTTTTATTTCTTAAATTAGTTTCAGCAAATTGGGAGTGGGAGAAGGGATAAGAAACGAGAACCCTAGAGAGGCTGAAGAACAGCTTTATTTTATACATCCTTGTCACAGTTAATTTCTTTAGAGCAAAGTATTGACCAGGTCAAGGAGCAGGTGCTGGGGGTTCAGAGGTGGAACTGATGCTTAGGTCACATCAGCATCCTGTGAAGGCTGCTCTGAAAGGCTGTGGAAAATCATGCTGTCACTTCCATTCCTCAGGACTGTACAGCCTGTGTCTCACTGACTGGCCCAAGGGATCTGACTGAATGACGATGCAGCAATTCAAGGAGAGGTGCATTCCTATCGAAATAAAAGCCCTACCCACACACACTGCATGGCACCTAAGTTTTCTGTTTTGTACCTTCCATATGTCTGACACTCTTTGAGTACCTTAGAAACAGTTGTTCCTGTTAGCTTATAATCTTACAAGTCAGGAATTATCATCATCCTCATTTTACAGATGAGGAAACTGAGAAAGAATAAGGGCATACTGTTAGCAAGGGAGTCAAGATTCAAATCCAAAAAGTTCAGTTTCAAGCTGTATGCCTCTCTATAGTGTTAACTTAGTTGTTACACCAATTATTTAATTTTTGAAATGATAATTAGTAAAAGAAGTATGTGATATATAAGGGGAGTCTTAGACAGTCTTGCAAAACAGGACAGAAAGTGGGAGTATGTCTAAGAAAGATTCCAGCCAACGCCTAGTGAACTTTAGATATGCCTTCCTGGCTTAGCAATCAAACAGCTTAATGGAAGAGAAATCTCAAAACTTGATTCTGAAGAATAGGTAGGATTTGAAAGGATAAAGGAGGAGAGGAAATCTCAAGCAGAGGAAACAGCATGAATAACACACTGGATGGGGAGAGGGTTAAAGGAAATTGAGCAATTTAGATTTATTGAAGCACAAGGTGGATGATGCAGAGTTGGAGGTAGTAAGGTTTGAGAGCCAGATGTAAGGTTGTGAAGGCCATTGGATGCTAAGCTAGAGTGGATTTTGTCTTATCTTGTATCTAATGAGGAAGCATGCAGGCTTGTCCAACCTGGGGCCTATGGGGTAGATATGCCTGATTTGCCTGGGCTGCACTGAGTGAAGAGGAATTGTACTGGCCTGAACATAAAATAAATGGTATAGTTAATGTACAAAAGTAACAAAATGTTTAAAAATAATTTTATTATAACATAGCTGTGTCCAACCCATGGGCCACATGTTGGACCTGCCTGTAAGCAGAACTCTAGAATGATTGGAACATTCTGTTTGGAAGGCAGACTTGGCAGTCTCACATCTTTTACAGTCACGTGTGGAAGACTTGAGAAGGGAGAAAATGGAGTGTACAGATGAGGGAGGCAGGAGGGGCAGTTATCCTAGATGAAAGTAGGAACCAGGGGTGCTGCATTCTCAGTGCCTGGGGTACTGATGGTGCCTTAGACTGTACAATTCTTCCTTGTAAGAGACTTCCCTTTAACATTCTTGGTTCTCAGACTTTGGATGCTGGTTTCAGCCTCCTTTCCTGAGAAACGCATCCCTATTTACTTCTAAATCCTTCTGACCATCAAATGGGAAAACATTGGGCCTTAAACTAACAGGAAGTCAAGGAGATGACAGAGAGGATGAGGTGACACTGTCATGGAAGACTATTAGTAGTTTAATTTTAAATGGGACAGAGAAGATTGATATCAGTGTTGACTCTGGAGTTTCTAAGATGTGGGTCACTGAGAGCAAGCAGCCCATTATAAAGAAACCCTAAATAAATAGTTTCAAGAACAGGCAGGGCCAAAAATGAGGAGTGAGAATCTCAAAACCCAAAGCTTCCATTCTTGGCCCTGATTCACCCTGGCAATTCTATTTTAAAACTTTTTACCTCAAAAGAAACATGTATGAAGGCAGCAGGCACCAAGCACAGTCATGAAGGCAACGCTCACCTAATGTTGAACTCCAGTTCTTGATATCTCTGTAACTCTGGAAAACTATGCAGTGGGCTAATTCCTTCTGTGTTTTTTTTTTTTTTTTTGAGAAAACTGCTTGGCATTAACAGCCATTAGTGGCTCTACCACTGTTGCCAACATTCTGCTTAGCTATGATGGATTAAGACTATTTCTGTCAAAGTCAAATGATGACATTTGAGACAAAATTAATTATCTGTATGTTGATTTACTAGAGTCAAACTATATTAACCTTTGAGCTAAAATATCATGGTGGTTGATGTGCACTTTTTTGTGGTTGGTTTACTTTGGATGTAGTAATTTTCATGGAATCAGTTAACATTTGTCAATTAACATGTATTAAATATCCTCAGAACAAAAATCATTATGACATATTTAAATTGAGTAGTTCTACAACTGGCCTGAGATTTGAAGATGAATGAAAAGATGAGAGGATAAGAAAGAAAACTAATTTCTGGATCATCCCACAGCTACTTAAAAAAATCTTGTATTAACTTGTGGAGCAAGAAAGGTCTCTCCAATTTTATTTTATTTTATTTTATTTTTTTATTTTTTTATTTTTTTGGTTTTTCTCCGGTACCGGGAACCGAACTCATGACCTTGCGCTTGCCAGGCAGGCGCTTTGCCGCTGAGCTAAATCCCCAGCCCCTCTCCAATTTTATTAAAAGTCCTAATATAGGGCCCAATCTGATGACTGTCATAGATTCCTAAAAGCTCCCAATTTTAATTGCAATTTACTGTTTCCCTGGATCTCAGCTGAAATTGTTCTCCCCAAAGTCTCCTGTGACTTGCAGATGATCAAATCCAGTAAGTCCACTGCTACCCCTTTTGCTCCTAGACATCACCCACATCCTATTTCTTTGTGTATATCTTAAAACATTGGACGATTCTTTATTACTCTTTCTTGTGGGATATTTTTGTCAGTCAGCTCTTAAGTTATTGGTGTTTTCCCGAGTCCATCCCTAGCCCACTGCTCTTTGTAGCCTATAGTTTTGTTATTTGGTAAGCTCACTTACTTTCAAGTTTCTAACTTCCACTCACTGCGCACAGCTACCATATTTTATCTATGGTTCTTGCCACTCTCCAGAACCTCAGATTGATACACATAGACCTCTGCTAGTGATCACTTGGATGTGCCAGAGATCCTGCCAATGAAACCCAATCAGTCTACAAAGGTCACTTACCATCTAAACTGCTTTGACTGCAGGAAGACAGAAAGCCTGTGTATATGCCCTTTAGGGAAACAGCATGTTTTTGAAGGAAAGATACATTTTGAGAGGGCTATTTGAAAAGATATCATTCCAAAAAACTGCCCACAGATCAATGTTATTTCAAAATATCTAGCTCTGGACTGAACCCACTGTGTGGGTATCATAGAGACCATTTGTCCACGTGACCTCACAAGTGATCATGATTGTCCTCAGTGTTATTATAAAATATTTGCTTATGAACTACGTGATTTTCTCATTTTCTCACCCATGTCCACCACATAATTGGCACTGTTTTTATAGGTAATAGGTCTAAAGAAGAAACAAAGAGATAGAGAATGGTGATGTTTCCTGGTTTGCAAAGCCAGTAATCCTGGGTTCGGATGTCTGTCTCTCTAAGTTCAAATCCCTGCTCCATCACTCATGGTGCACATGATTCAGGCTACTTATCTTCTTTCAGACTCAGTTTATTTACCTTGAAGTACAGGGAAAATATTGCCAATCTCTCACAGTTGTGGTAAGGTTTAAATGAGTGATGTCATGCTAGTTAACATAAAATCATGCTTATAAAGCGTGCTCCATGTTTTATAAATGTCCAGTGTCAACATCTTCCTATTGCTGAAAACCTTTTAGAACTGATTAGGAAAGAAATATGACTAAAATGCCTGGATCTCAAGAGTCATTTATTTCTTTTCAGCAAATTAATTACCATAGCATGGAAATCTTGTTTATCCCTGAAGCTAGGTTCTTGTGAATAGAGATAATAAGATTGTTTACTCATGTAGAAAATGTGATAACTCACTTTAGAAATAAAACATCAATCAATGGGTAAACATTGTTCAAATATAAATATTTATGGTATTTGGTGCAAAACATTTGGGGGTTTGAATTTACCTATTTATAATTAGAATAATCAATTCTATGACCAGCAAAGCTGATTAAGTTATGCAAAATATTCTGCACATTGTCAGCTGATGCTGCAATTTACTAGACAGAGAGAACAATATTAAACTGCTCATGATCCAACTGAAAAGTGTGCCCTTAGAGGAGTTACTTAACCATTAAATATCTTAGTTTCCCTATTTGCAAATTAGTATAAATAAGACATTACTTACTCTCTAGGATTTCAAAAAGAAAAATGTGAGACTACATGCAAAAATAGTTTAGAAATTAACATGCTTTTTACATTGTTATTTTTATATTAACTGCTAATATTTCATGTCTCTTTAGCTGGGGAAATGAGACACAAATTGTTATAAAAATGCTGAATGATTTCACCATGTGATTACTTTGCCACAAAGTCCTCTTTTGAGTTGTCACATTATTTTATCAAGTTCATAATATGCATTGGGAATTCACATAGGTGAGAAATGATTTTGGTGTTTCAAAGGATGTCATTAGTTCTAGAAATGGAAAAAATATCTATCCAATTTTCTGAAACCCAAAAATGGGGGCCAACAGTTTGTCACGTATTTGTTTTCTTCCTTCCTATTATTTCAATACTGAAAGTGATTTTTTAAAATGCAAATATTCAGACAAAAGAGAAAGCTATCATTGATAGAGTGAACTTTAGAAGTCTTTTAAAGTGAGTATACTTGTGGTTACTTCACTGTTCTTGGTTTTCGTTTTTCCCCAGTATTGCGGATTGAACACAGGGCTTCCCACATGCTAGGCAAACAATTTACCACAGGACTATACCCCCAATCTTATTGCACAGGTTTTAAACCAGGTCTCATTAGTTTTTTGATTAAAATGTGAAGTCAGACACTTTTAGCTGTGCTGCATCCTAGGATCACTGTAGTTTTATAGCCCCAAGGAGCAGTAGAGATGATCTGCACTAGCCCTATCATTCTCTTCTACACTGGCCTTCTCATTTTGCAGATAAAAAGCAAGTTCAGAAAGATGACTGAATTCTCCATAATCACACAGTTGACTGACCCAGGCCTCCTGACTTAATCCAGACTTTTTAAAGTGCATCTCACCGTATATGTTCTTTTCCCCTTATTATATGTGCTCTTTTTTCTCTTTCATTAGAGGTGTTAGGATGTACCTGATCACTTCACTTTTTCCACATTAGGCTGCACTTTGATGAGAGTTTACTTTAGAGTTTGCACAAGCATACAACATTTCTGGAGTTTTCTATGTAGAATCCAGCCTGGCATAGGAAATCAGACCTCTTACCTCACTCCAGTTTCCAACGATCCAGTATGCAGGGCTGTGGTCCTCAGCAAGCTGCTTGTAATTGGAGGCATTCAGCAAAAAGCCTTCAGCAATCAGACTAGTTGCATCTTCCTCAGTCAGAACTGGTCCAGAGCCTTGTGTTCGATTCATGTTTGGAAGTTCTAGGTGGTTATGATTTACTGACTTTTCTGAGGGTGTTGGCTGGTGCTCTTCTTCAACAGGGAATGGAGTGTTACTTGGCTTTTCAGTAATCATTCCCTCAGTCCTGGGTGTCCCATCTGTAAAGGTACTGGGTCTTTGACCAGGTAGTGACCCTTCCATCGCTGTGCTGAAGGGATACCACAATGGCCCATCACCATCAGGAGGTGTTGGTGGAGGTCCAAGTGGGCTTTCTGTACTTCTTTCCATCGGATCATCATTTCCAGGTAGTCTGATCTTGGTCCATATTACAGAATTGCTTTCCTCTTTGTTCTCAGCCTTTTCACTGCCTTCCCCTGAGCCACTGTGAATCTCCATTTCTGGATCTTTTGTCAAGGTGTTGTAGAATGGAGTTATCTGCCAAGTCCCAGGACTGCTGGAAGATGACAAGTCAAGACCACTTGTTGTAGCTACTATGTCTCCATCTGAGGTAGGACTGGTATCTGAATTAGCACCATTTTCATCATTGGCCTGGATATCCAAAGCCCAGGAAGTGAGGATGGGCTGAGAAGTGCTTCCAGTAGGAATGAGATAGTGGGAGTCCAGTTCCGTATGGCTTGAACTATTTTGCCACCATTCTCCACCCAAGTCTCCCTCTGTGGAAGCTGTGGTGGGACTGGGGCTGCTGACTGCCTGAGTGCTTGTGCTCAGAGTCTCAGGCACTGTGGGTGTGGCCAGCAGTGTGGGCTGGGATGAAGGGGTGGGGCTTAAGGGGTCTTGCTCAGATGTTGGTAGATTTTTCCCACTGGGAATTGTGGCTTTGTTGGGTTTCAGAACTCGCCGACTTGATGGGCATTGCTGAAGGCCGCACAGAGCTCTGCTATTTGGTTTCTTTGTCTTGTCACATGGTTCACCTTGGTTCTTGGCACAAGTGACACTGCGAATCCTCACTCCACCACCACAGGAAACAGAGCACTGGGAAAGAAAGACAGCTGTTAGTCTAGCAGGAAAAACTGTTTTCATTCTCCTGGCTGGGTTTTTAGCTCATTAAGACAGGCCCAGTGGCAGCTAGACATACAGCTCACATTGTCTTCTATCTCTACATCTAGTTTCGGTGCTCTTTTAATTTTCCATGAAAATATGTATCTCTAAGAGACAAAGTGGGGCTCAGGACTACCCAGTTATTCTTCCCAAGCTGAAAACATAAACCATGATGTAGTCAAGCTGAAGTCTTTTTGCTTTGAACATTGGATAGTAGGATCCAACAGGAGTGCAATGATTTAAACAAATCACCCAATTTCTTTAGCAATAGTGAGTAACATTGTCTCTTTTCTAAGGTTGTGGTATTATTAAATTAACATGAAATGTTTACATAGTCTCAGGAATCTATTAAGTTAGTTATACTGAATCTCATTCTACTTAGAAAATATTATAATTAATGTACTTTCTCTTGAGTATTATAATCACTTGCCTATGCCACTCAGAATGAGATTAAAAGCTCGGCAATCACCATACTCACATATATTCATGGTTCCAAGACCTTTTCTGAAAATTAGAGATGAATGGTTAATCAAATGTGGGTCACCCAAAAAGTTAGGTCAGCCCCTTAGCATGGTGCTAATATACGCATCGTGGTAGTGGCATGTCACCCTCTTTTCCCTCCACAGTAGACCATCGCCCAGCACAGGCAGCTAGACTTCTTTGGGGGAATCCTGACAGGATTACTTCTTCCTTCCTCAGAATTCATAACAGAAAGTGTTCATTTCATTGTCCAGCAGCTGCAAGTCATATGTAGTTGCCGCATAGTTTAAATGTTTTGAATAACCCATACTTTTATCACACTGGTGTATTTTTAGCTTTCATTTTCAATGACATTTTATATCAACCATTAAAGACCTGCCACTTGAACATGAATCCAGCACTGGCTGTTTTACATTTTTCTGTCTTGAATGTCTGACCTCAAGACAGGTTTCTTAAGGATGAAACTGCATAATACTCAGTGGATTCCCAGGGGTTTCAAGTCATTTCTCTGTGTAATGATTGCATTCGCTCTGTGGGATTTATGAGGCAGTAATTATTATTCTATCTTCTAAACAGAAGAGCCCAAGGCCTAGGAACTTGGATGAAAGGCTGAAAGTCACTCTCAGAGTAAGAATCAGATTTACTCCACATAATAAACCTTCCCTGCTAGCAATATGATACTCTGTGCAAGTAGCTATCAAGGAATCTCCTTGTTCATTTGACCAAACATTTTATTTCTTCTTCTTCTTTTTTTGTGTTACTGGGATTGAACTTAGGGTCTTTGCATGGAGCATCCTAGGCCCTTTTTTACTTTTTAAAATTTTGAGGCAAGGGCTTTCAAAGTCAGTAAGTTGCCCAGGCGAGGCTTGAATTTGCTATCCTCTTACCTCAGCATCTTAGGGTGTTGGGATAAAAGCCACACACCACTAAACCCAGATTTCTCAGGACAGTTCTTAAGACACGTATTTATACGTACTTATTAAGTGATCATTTTACCTGCTAACAACCAGGAATGGGAAAATTCTTATCCATGAACATACATATTTTTTTAGCTTAAATTCTTCACCTTCTCAAGACCTACTTTCAATTTCCTCTGTGTAAGAAAATAATATTGATGTAGAATACTTTCTCTTTATTTTGTTTCATCAAGCAAAATCACTCACTGTGTATAATAACTCTGTGAAATCAGCTCCATTGAGAGGCAAAAGATGCCTGCGAGCACAGGGGAAGGTACAGCCAAGAGAACGACCAGCTGCAGACTGAACTCAAGCAGCAAAGCCATGACTAAGACGTCAACAAAACACTTAAACAGCTTGTTCTAAGGCTGACCTTCCAAACTCGGTTTGCAATGATAATAGTACTAATTTTTGGTGGGAAACACTACATGTACCAGGAAATGCAGACTTACTTGCTGCCAAGTAACTGTTTTGGAGAGCAGTAGTGAGGAAATAATGTTTCCCACACTTTCCACAGCTCATGTGAAGCCTGGAAAGGGTAGGGTGGAGGTGTTAATCTTCCTGGTTTCTCATGAGATTTCTGTTCTTCTTGTGTATTAAGATACTTCCTGCTCTATGCAGTTTAGTCATTCTGTCTCTCTCTGCTTGCTACACTCTAACCTGAACCTCTCAGATTCTCAAATATGTTTGTAAATATTTGTCAGTCCAACCAAATAATCCTCCATGCATGTCTGAACACATTTCCATGCTGCTTGCCTCAGGCAGGCTCAGTTGAAAGTTGAATCGTAAAGAGCCCCTGAGCCATGCCAAAGGGTCTTAAGCACCAGGCGGCCTCCCTTGCACTTTTTCTTTCCAAGAAGTATTAAAATAGATGGCAACATGGTAGGACATTCTTCATTTTTTTTTCATTTACTCTTCTCTCTCTCTTTTCTTGGTGTATTTATTTATATTTTACTTTTTAAAGAGAATAAAAAATAATTTGAAAAACGTTAAAAACAATACAGAATTTCATTAAACAAGATGATAGGAATTCAACAATGGTTGTTGTATTGCATTTCATTGTCTGCAAATTAGCTGTAAGCACATCTTAGTTTATTTTGACTTGAAATATTTCTAATGCCCTTGGGGATGTGAGAATTCACAATTCAACCTTACAAAATTTTTTAAAAATGAATAAGTTTATGAGTATTTTCCCTTCACTCCTGTATTGAACTACAGTATATAGGGGAAGAGCTGAACTATAAAACCCGTGATAAATAACTTAAATTCCTCAGTCTGCCATTGTTATTAACTCTGTATGATTCAGTGATGAAGGATCAACTTCCATGTCTAGAAATTAAGAGAAATTATTACCCAGCTTTCAAGGCTGCAATGAGGGTTATGGAAGACAATAATCACAAACAGTGCATGCTAAATACAGGACAGTCATTGGATGCTATTATAATCACTGTTATGACAATAACACTGAAGATGCTCATAGCAACTGTAACAAAAGGATAATTTCTACTGTCCCTGAGAACCATCTCAACAGGAGAGCTGAGGATGAAGTGTATGTGGCAGGGCACAGGTCTGGAAGATACTGTGGAAGCCCACGAACTCTCTGGTTTACTGCGTAATTTGTAGAGATTCGGATTGACAAGGGTTAATGGATGGGTATGGGGTCGTTTAATACAGATTGCAAGAACTGGGCAATAATAGCTATGCAGCAGATTTTCTTTTAGTTAAAATACATTAAATTTGATACTTTAAAACAAAAGATTATTCTTGAACAGGAGTTCCAAAGTGTAGTGCAAGGAATAAATTTGGCTTATCAATATATATTCTTTGGCCTCTTCAGTCTTAAAACAATAAACAAGAAAAGTGGAACTACTGAGTTACTGGCTGGAATGTTAAAAATTAGTAATTTCATGTTAACAAAATTCCAGATTCATAGCTTCTCTTGAAAAAGCAAATGTTCTGCATCTATTGGCTTTGTTCCCAGATGGCAACTCAAGACTTCATTAATGGAGTCCTAGAGTCTGAGAGGAGTCTCTGTTCTCCAGCACCTTTCCTTCCATCCACCTTTTTTCTTTTCCTTGCAAAGCAGACACTGCCTCTCCTAAACAGCCTGGGGATGCCATGTCTTGGCACTGGGACATGTGTCCACCAGCATGGTGCTATCCACCAAGGAAATGGGACCTAAATACTAAGCTGTCTTTTCTCAGTGGCCAGAACAAGTAGAACTGCTTTGTAATCAGCCCCGTGCTTCTTTCAGTACATCTTCTCTGTGTTTATCTCCTTAGGAGCTGTCAAGCCCTTCAGATGGGATAAACGCAGTACACAACACCACACTTAGAACTCCCTTACCTTGTAATTTTAAATCCTGTACTGGGCAAGCAGCTTGTCCTTTCTGGGAGTTACCTTGCCCTCCCTGGCCACTACTTCTGGATGAGGGCCTCCAGGGCAGCCCACTGGGAAAGAGGTCAGCCGCTAAATTGGTCAACTCCACCTACCTCAGGAGCACTGCGGAGAGGGTGGGGCTCACAACTGGCCTCGAGCTGGGGTGAGGAGAGAGTCTACTCAAAATCCTAGTGGGAGTTTTTCAGAAGATTTAGGCTAAAGGGCTGAGTACAGAAACCGTTAATTTAATAGATAGTCTTAGGAATTTATATATGAAGGATTGGACTTCATACTAAAACTCAGTTTGAAAGTAAGCTAAAACACTTAGATACCTCAGGTAGGCTGAATTGTCCCTCTACACACAATAGAGCTGTGTCAAAGTCCCAGTGCCCGTTATCTCAGAGTGTGACTGTCTTTGGACACAGGATCTTTACAGAGGGAATCAAGTCAAAATTCAATCACTAGCACAGGCCCTGATCCAATATGACTAGCGTTCCTATAAAAAGGAGAAATTTGGACTCAGAAAACACCATGGGCAGATGAAGATGGGGACTGTGGTGATGCCTTTATAAGCCAAGGAATACCAAAGATGACCTGAAAACCACCAGCTCTGAAATGATTATCCCCACCCTGCTGACACCTTGATGTTGGATTTCTAGCTTCTCAAAATGTGAGACAAGAAATTTCTATTTACGTCACCTAGTTTGTGGTGCTTTTTCAGGGTAGCCCTAGAAAACTAATTCAGTGTCCTCAACAACTAAAAATATCAGATATAATGAAGAGAATCAACATGGCACCCAAATGGCCTCCTCCGAGTGGCTGTTACAAACAAGAGTGCGCATATCTGTTCTCAGGAAGCCTGGCAGAGGGCAGGCTGCAGATGTACGAAAGAACTGAGAAGCTGGAGCTTCCAGGTATCCATGCCAACAGCAGAGGTGATCACAGTCAGATTATCAGGGGCCAGTTGCCCTGGAGTGCCTGGATCTTAGCTACAATGGGGATTCCAGGGGGCAAGTAACTTTTAGAAATATCTCCTATCCCTCCTTACTCTCGCCACTTTCAGTATTCAGAAACTCCCTTGAGATTTCACACGTGTCTGTCTTTGTTTCCGAGTTAGCAGTAGATACAGGCTTGGTGTTTGTTGGCCTGTCTTCTGTACAAAGATTCAAGCAGGGCTCATGTATGAGAACTGGCTTTTAGTCTGTTTAGTTACTCTGTGCTCCAACACCCCCACAAACAGCTTTCACTCAGATTCTTTCAATTAGTCAGATTCTTAGCAATCTAATTGTTTTGTTCATTTGAGTCAGGTATAAGGAAGGCAGATTGAAGATCTTCCTAGTGTCAGCATCTCTGCTTTTGGAGGGTCCACCTCATATCCCTGCACACCTGTTCAATCAAAGGCATCGCTAGTCTCAAATGTGTTCTTTCTGTGTTTTGAAACCACTTGAGAGGCTTTTCTCCTCTTTTTCTTTTGAAATTATTTTGTGAGGGTAGCTCATTTAGTTTTCAAGTCTCTGAAAGCTCAACAATCGTTAGGCATAATAGTCTGGAATTCCAGGAAAGTAAGAAAAGATGATCTATAAATTATTTCCAAATATATTACATTTCTTATGAATATTAACAGCCGTCATGTTGCTATATTTTGCAGATGTTTGAGATGCAGTACAGCACAGTGATCAGAGTAGTAGCGCTGCCGCTTTCATTCAAATCCTGGCTCTACCACTGGTGGCTTTATGACCTTGGGTAAATTTCCAAGCATCTGTATGCCTCAGTTTCCTCATCTGTAAATTGGGGCTAAAAACATATAGGACTACATTATTAATACTCAAAAAGGTATTAAATACATATAAATATGCAATAAATTTGCTATTAATATATAGTTAAATATTTATTGTTATTTGGCAGTATCCTAGACACTTTGTTTTTATGGAAGCAATTGGTTAGTATTTTTAAGTCTCAAACATTTTTGTAGATTTTTAAAAAGCAATTGTGTAAAATTTCCATGGGTAAAGGAAGGGGTATATGAACATGCAAGAGGCCCTAGAGCAATTCTTTTGGGAACTTTGAATACCGTTGATAGGCAAGATTTGCAAAATTGAAGTAACATGAAAAATAGGCCTTATTCTTGATTGACAATAAAGTCACTGATTAGTGAACATTAACTATTTGCCAGGAAGTATGCTAAGTGCTTCCACGGATTATTTCATTAAATCCTTGTAATAACCCAGTCCTCACAGGTGAGGAGAGATTGACAGTTAACACTAGTAGAAGAGCACACAGAGATTTCCAGAGCTACAAAACCTAGAAAACTTAATCCATCTGACAAAAGTATAAGGATGGTTTACAGTTCAGGAAACTGAGCCCATGAAAGATGAACTCAGTTTCTAGTAATGTATATGAGTTTATGACATGCAGGTTAGAATGTGGGTTGTTCTCTGCGCTCTCTTCCCACTTCCACTCCTGCCCAGGATATACAAGGCCAGACACATTTATTAGCTACCTGATGTTTTCAGTGGTCATCCATCTGTCTATCCATCCATCCATCCATCCATCCACCCATCCATCCATCCACCCACCCATCCATCCATCCAGCCATCTATCCATCCATCTATCCATTTGTGGAAAAAATACAACTCTCTAGAAAACATGTGAACAACCACTTTCTAATTATAATCTTGGAATCATTATTAAAATCCTCACAGAACTTTGGCAGTTTATTAAAGTAAGGATGTCTCTTGGAGAAGTACTTTTCTATCTACCCGGTGGAAAGAATTATGGAGCTCACTGTGATGCCCTTATTGCACTGGTTACCTAGATGAACTGTCATAAATTGAAAGCTTAATCACAGCAACCCTATTATCCTCATATCTAGATCTCAATCTCTGCTCTCAGCCCTGGCCTTGACTTCTATTTTACTACTATAGCATTTAAGCCCTTTTATTATAACGTGCATGAAACAATTTTAGAAAGAGAAGTTGTGTATAAGCAAATACACACAGCCTGGTTTCTGGAAGTCTCATTTGCTACATGCATATGCAAACCAAGTCAAGCCAAATAGCACCTCCAATTGCCTGGCAGTCAGTGGGGGAAGAAGGCCAAATGAACATGTGAGGATGTGGGTAAAACAGGAGAAAACTAAAGGTAACCACAGAGAGAACTACTCATCTACAAGTGGCTGAGTGAGGATTTGACCCCAGGGAGCCATTTTTCTGGGGGCCATGCCCTTCACCACTAGGTTGACTGCCTGACTCTGAAGTAGTATATGTAGAAAAAAATGGGAGTCCCAGAAAGTTTGATATCTTGCTTTTGTTCACAACAAATACAGTCCCCCTTTCTTACCCTCCAAACCACCAAAACCAGGATAAGATTCTTAGTGAAACTTGAGATTATGGGTAGATGTCTAGAGTAGGACACTAGGCGTGGTGGTAGGAGGTATTGGTGGCTAGTCTCAGGTGGCAGGAATGCCTTTCCTGGGAAGAGAACTCCCCCTTCTCATCCTTGCTGGTCAAGGTTGCCTGTGCCAACCTGGTACTCCTAAGCACACCTTTCCTCATTTCTTGGGTTGGTGGAGAAGGCTTCATAGGGCAAAACAACTCAGGAATTTGCCTTTCGCTCTTCTCATCTTGATGGGCAAGGGTAGGTCATTCTGTAGAAATCTCGGAGCTTCTCAGTTCTCAGATATTTTGGTCTCGTTACCTTACAGATTCAGGCTCATCCAGGGTGACCCAGGTGACTCAGCACAGAACAAAGGATTAGGTACAGCCAAAGCACTATTCTGTTTCAAACAATATTGGTATCAAGGCAAAATCCAGACAATAAATACTTTGCACTAATAATGGCTGTATCATCTCTCTTGCAGACAGCAGCTCGGCAGGGTTAGGCTGTCAAATACATTTCACCATATTCAAGTAAAGCTTATTAAAGGGTTATCAGCATGACAGCAGAGGGAAGAAAGGAAGACCCATTTAGTGAATCTCTTGATGTTGATTTAAGTAAAAGCACTTCTCCCACCAGCCTTTCTGCTCATTTCTGTCAAGTGGAAGCTAGAAACTGGAGATTCCATGTATGCTGTCAGATGATTATGCCTGTGCTTTGGAACCACAGACACAAGTACTTATCACATTATGCCAACTTTTGGTCCCTTGTTCTGCAGGGGAGAGTAAGTTTTCCAGGTTAAAACAGGCTATGATGCTCCACATACATAGGAACATAATAAAAAGAACTCCTCAGTGAAATCTGTAGTCCTTTGAGAAATCAGTAAGCCTCTGGCAATTAGTAAATTCTACGTGACAAGAATTATTAACTGTTTTTGGTGAAGCCAGCATATTTTTGGTAAATAGATTTAATGGATCAGTCACAATTCCCCATTCAGTCTTATTTTGACAACACTGTAATTTACAGCATTCTAGGTTGGTGGTGGACTACTAGGCCAGAACAGCAGCATGCTATGATTATTCCTTCCAGTGGATAACAGGGGGACATATTCTGGTTTGCTGCTGACATGTGTACATGCAGCAGTACATAGATCCATAATGCACCCGTATTAGTTGGCAGTTATATTTTCTTTACATGCATACCTGTTTGTTTTTTCCTTTTTTGGTCTAATTCTCCAATTTGATGGAAAGATTTTACAAGAGAAACATCATATTTCAATTTCCTTATTTGCACCTATATACCCAACAGAGCATTCTTTACAGAATTAAAAGCTAAGTAGTTAGTTAACTTGTGATTTTGAGCTAATGAAACAGTCTTAGAAATAAGATTGTCGAGCTGCTATTTTCAAATGAGTACACTGACTTCATATTGGTATCTTCAGAGAGGACAACTTTGCTTATACAACGTTTAGAATTCTTTAGGAACTACTTTTAGAAAACCTTTATAAGCTATACAGGGGCTGGGGATTTAGCTCAGCGGCAAAAGCGCCTGCCTGGCAAGCGCAAGGTCGTGAGTTCGGTTCCCGGTACCGGAGAAAAAAAAAAAAAAAAAAAAAAAGATTATAAGCTATACATACAAAGCACTCTTCTTTATTTATACTCAAGAGAATTTTTAAACACAAAAGTTTTTTATCCCAAGACATGATCATATTGCACATGCATTCATCAGTTAGTTAACTGTCTTTTTTTGTGGCAATCAAATGGTTTTCCTTTTCCCTGAAGGTAAGTCCTCAGATGGGTTTCTGCAATTTGCTAGATGGAGGGAAAATTTATCTCAAAATTCTGGCCTGGTGGTATTTAAAGACCACTTATTTTCTAGTCATTCCTGATGTCATTGACTGGAGTGCACAAAAGGAAGCTCACTGGAGATTCTATGCATCTTGGTGAAAGAAAAGCTTTCTTTCCCTAATCACTCTGGAGATATAAAAAAACCTGGTAGAACTGGGTTCCACAGTGACCCACAGAAAGTTAAAGCCAAAGAGTTTCTCATAACCTTGTAGCCCTCTCATTTTTAATTATGGTCTGAGAATTAGATCAAATTAATTTTGGGAAAACACCATGCTTATTTGAATTTATATGGATAATAACAGATGTCCTAAATATGTGTTAATTAAACCAATGAGCTTCTCTGAGTGTTGAGTATATTTTTCATCATCCACTAGTACAGCAACACTCCTTTGTTTTAGTCAGTCATAATGATGTGACTATAATGATGATAAATGTTTACCAAACTGGTTTTTGAGGTGGGATGAGGGGTCTTGTACTACTAATGGTTTAACAACGGGCCAGCAAAAAACCTGACAATTTAGCAACTGGCTTCCATGAGCTTGTAGTAGTGAGGGTCTACTTTATCTCTGTGGATACCTGACCACTGGGCAGTTGCAAGAAAGATCCTATAAGAACAGAAGACAAGATCCTGAGTGGTGGGAAATGCAGGAAATGGGCCAGAGGTGATATCTACTCTCTGTTATGCAACTTTCCCTTAGGTCACTTTGAATTAGAGGACTTGGTAAAGGGCTGATGAAGTATGAATAATGCCAGTTTTCCATCTAAGCTTGAGCTCACCTCACTCCAGTTGCCCACTGTCCAGTCTGATGGGCACAGGATATCTCTGTTACAGGAACTGAGGGCCTTGGGCTTCAGTAGGTGCTGGCAGTCTGTCGCCGGGAGAGCTTGCTCATCAGAGCCCATGGTCTGGATGCATAGCACTGTTCGCCTCTTCTCTCCGTAAGGTCCACATGTTTTTGAACAGGCTTCCCACTCCCCTGTCCACCACCTGCAGGCAGACACGAACATGGGAAAAGATCACTGAAAGTATACATGCGTTCATTTAACTGCTGGAAAGAGAAAGTAGGTGAGAGCCACAGATTGCAGAGCTGGGAGGCTCTTGGAAATACTCTGCCTGCTCCGGAGTAATCTACTGATGGGGCCATAGTATCTTTTTTTTTTGTTTTGTTTTTTTGTTTTGTTTTTCTCCGGTACCGGGAACTGAACTCACGACCTTGCGCTTGCCAGGCAGGCGCTTTGCCGCTGAGCTAAATGGGGCCATAGTATCTTGTTCAATCAAAGCACCAAGGTCCAGCAGAGCACAGGCACAGGTAGTTGTTAAACAGGCATATAAAACAATATACATGTCCCCTCTTTCTGTCAAGAAAACTGGACTCTGGGTATCTGGCATGCAACTTCAAGCAAATTGAAGTCTTGCTTCTTCAGCTGTTAAATGAGTATAACAATATCAACTTCATACGAGTACTATGGAATTAATAAAATGTTAATTCACATGAAGTGAATGCTAGAGCCTAATATTATGCTATAGAACTTAATCATTTGTTATCATTTGTTGTTATTTTGATTGTTGGTATTAAAAGGATCCAATTAATTGCTAGGGTTTCAGGCTCTTAAGCAAATAATTTTCTATTTCATTGTGAAGTAGGTATAAACACAACGCATCCAGTTTTATTTGCAAGGTATAATTGAAAAGTATGGTGAACGTTTAAAAAACATTCTAAGACATATGGTCATTAATCCTCCTCAAAACATTCCCCCTTATTTAAATATACTTATCACATTGCTCTTGATACGTTCTGAAGCAGTTCTGGAAGTCCTCTTTCATTAGTATCTTCATGAGTATGCTAAAAGATACAGTGGTACCTTGGAGTTTAATTTATTTCACAATTCTGGAAAAGATGGCCACATTTGTGTTCATGTAGGAAACATAGCTACAGTTGTGTTGGTTATCCAATGCAGAGTTTACAAATGAAACAAAATTTTGCCAAATGCCAAAATTTTGCTTATGTTTACAAAACAAACTGTTCACAAACAAGAGTGTTTGTGAGCTGAAGTACCCCTGTACAATGAATGCTGCTGCCCAGTGCTCTTCAGCAGAAAGGCATGCTTCTGAAAACTATACACTGTGTCTTCATCCATCTTATTCACCAGATCTGGCACCGTGTGACTTCTGGCTCTTACCCAAAATCAGTATGACTGGGAAGGGTAAGTGTTTTGGTAATCAAGACTTGGTGGTAATTCAAGACTTTGAGGCAGCCATGACAGTGCAATTAAAGACACTCATGGAAGAGGAGTTCCAGGACTGCTTCAGAAAGTGGCAAGATAATGGGATAAATCCAGTTGAAGAGAGGGGGAGTATTCATGGGGATGGTTAATGGCAATGTGTCTTTTACTGTAAAAAATTTCAAAAATGTAAACATTCACCATATATTTCACTCACACCTTGTATTTAGAAAATAATCACTCAGGGACATTGACCTCATTTTTGCCTTCCTGTCTCCTGCAGTCTAATTATTAATAATTTCATGGTCTCTTTAATAAGAAAAGAGTAGAAAAAGAAGAAAGTTAAATTGGGCAGTTTCTTGTTAGCTGTTGTTAACAAGTTGAACAGTTGAAACTACTGTCTAAATGAATATTCTTGATTCAGTTGTTCTTAAGTTTAACAGTTAAACTACTGGCTAAATTAATATTCTCTGAGGACCAACAAATGTATGCCAATTGTCTATGAGTGATTTACTCAGGGTTTCAGGATGTGAGCCACTGGCTACATAAACTGCTTTTGAAAATGGCAGAGAGGCCTCTCTCTTCTTCCCTCCCTATCCTTGTGCAAACCTTCCAACACAGAAGACCAAAAATAACTAAATAACTAACTAACTAAATAAATAACTAAATATATACTTTGGATTCCATAGACAACATCCCTCTGTATCATAATAAAGTGGGATCCTCCTAATTTTATGGGGGAAACAGCATACTGTGGGAAGCCCCTCATCTCTGACTTTAACAAACCCTCCTAACTTTAATGTAGTAGTGACTTTTGGTAATTCTAGAGAAGATAAAACTTTGTACTATTTTTGTTTATTAAATATTGGATTTGTTTGAGTAGAACTTATTCTCATTCTCATACTTTTCATTTCAAGTTAACATACTAGAGGAAAGCGCCTCCTCAATCCTATTATACTGTTCAGTTTATAAGTAGTTAAGATTATGTATTTCTTTTTAGTCTTTAATATCTGGCTGTCATGTGGGGATAAAAAGCTAGTCCTGGGACAGTATGATGTGAAAGCAAATAAATGTCCACTGTATTAATCTAATTACTCTGTCTTACCTCTGACATTCCCAATGGAGGCCAGGCACACTACTGAATATATAAATGTCATTCTGGAAAAGGCTTAATCTGAGCTGACGGAAAGCCTAATTTATCTAATTACTTGCTATGGAGTTTTCACCTCTATCATCACAGAGTGATAATAGACTTTGTTTTCTCTTTTTGAAGTTTTCTCCAGTCCCCTGGAGGACCTTTTACATGTGCTTATGATATGGTCTCATCATGTTCCCAAAACTCATGGGTGGGAAACTTAATCTCCAGTGCAGCAGTGTTGGGAGATGGGGCCTAAGGGGACTGGTTGTGGGGTGTTTTAATGCCACTGTAAACAGCGTTGTTGGAATAGGTTTGCTGTCTTTCACCATTCTGTGATGGAAGGACATATTTATCCTGTCTTGTTTTTCTGCTTTCGGACAGGCAAGGACATAGCAAGAGTGTCCTCCCCAAGCCCCAGTAATGGTGCTTTGATCTCAGGCTTCCAGACTGTGTGATAGTTAACTGTGGTATCAACCTGAATAAGATACACTGAGTGGATTAGTTTACCACAGTTCTAGGTGCGTCTGGATGACTAACTTACTGAAGAGGGAAGACCACTTGGGATGTCAGTGGCACAAGTCAGTATTCTTGTAGTCTGGATGAAATAAAAAGGGAAAGAAGAACAAAGTCTTGCTTTTGCTTCTTTGGGGGAGAACTCTTTGGATGTCTGCCTCCAAGCTTCCAGGGCAGACTCTTCAGCTTTCCACTAAGGACTCACACAAGACTCTGCAGTGAGCTCCAGGCCTGTGACTTTTGAGTGGATCCCCTCACTTTCCTATGCACAGATGGTCCTTTTGCTTCTTTTACCCTCAGCTCAGCAGGTGGCCATTGTAAGCCTACCTTGTAAATCCTTTATATATCTTATATATGCTTCATATCAACTCTGTTCCTCTAGTGAACCCTAGCTGATACACTCTAGAACTGGGGAAATAAATTTCTATTCTTTATGAGTTACCCAGTCAGTAGTATTTGGTTACAGTAGCATAAACCAAATTAAGACAGTTTGTCACTAGCTTACAGTGAAAATCATCTCCTCCGTCTTCTTGTAAAGGTTTTTCAGGCCTAGGTCTCAGGAGCCACTGTCAAGGTGGTATTTGTTGTCTAGCTCATTCTTTTTGGTGTTTCCCAAAATCTCACCTTTTCTAAGAGATTAATAATGATACTATTTTATATTTATGGAGATTTGTATCTATAGACAATTTGTAGCAAAAGACTATTAATGTGCTCTGAATGGTTGGTGAAAAGGGCAATGCAATATTCAGAGAATTCAGGGAAACTAAAAACACCAATCTCTACATTTATTGTTCCTCAATAACATGACCTTTTTGGTTTAATCAACATAGAATTGACAGTAACCCACCCAGACCTTTTCTGTTTGTGCCACCAATCTCTCTCTTACCAGAACGTTAATGACAGTAACTAAGATTTTCTGCTTGACTAAACTCCAGTCAGGTTCCTGAATCTTCTCCTGGGCCCATCTACATGTTTCCTTGTAAAACCCAGTTTAGCAGAGAACATGGCTAAGTCAGTGTGGCAGGAATTTTTGCCCCTGACACCTGCTGGGTTCTTCATCTGCCACCTTTCCCCAGGCGATGTCTCATCACCCTGGCTTGTCTTGAGCAAGATTTCTGTTAGGTCAGGTCAGCCCAAATCCTTCCTTCCTCTGCTTCTTCTTAGTGACTTCCCACCCACTGACACAAACCTGTTCCTGGGGTGTAAATTCCCACTTGTACCCAGTGTATATGAGGTTGAGGTCAGTTTCTTTCCCACTGCAGAATCGTACTGCAATGCTTTCTACAGCTACCATGATAGCCTTGGATAAAGTTTTTACTACTATTAAACAAGTATCATTGAATAATATTTTCTATAGTAACTTAACCTAACACAGTTGGACAATTGATCATGCCTTGCTGTATTGTTCTTTACTCACTAAACATGAGTTAATCTCTTTCCAGTTATGTCAAAGTCCTAAGGACTGGGGCTATGTGTTTGATTCTCATTGTATCAGTATTTGGGGAACTTCAAAAAGTTAACAGTGTCCAAGCTTGGCTGAAGACACAGAATGTATTGTGGGCAGAAGAAAGGCATCAGTGACTTTTGAGAGCTTCGTGGTTACTTTTATTTGATGCCAGGATTTTAAACTACTGTGCTAGTATCCTTGGTAGCAACTAAATTGACTGTGTTGAAATTTTTCTCCAAAGACTGAACTGTTTAGTTTGAGTTTTATATACTACGGTCTGCGTGCATGTGTTTGTGTGTTGTGTATGTGTGTGTGTGTGTATGTGTGTGTGTCTATGTTTGAGACTCTTGAGTTGGAGAGCCTGTAGTAGTTGTCCTAGGAAAGTTTACTATGGTTATGATATGGTTTTATCTTGCCTTGAGATGAAGGAGGACAGGTATTGAACATCTGACTCTCATTTCTGTACTTTTACCCAATCTTTTGATGGCAGTGCTTGCCTTGGCAGCTTTGACTATCAATGAAGCTGGTCACTTTATTCTCCCTAAGCTCATTATTCAGATAAACTAAAAGTCCTAATCTGAATTTTTCAGTCTCTTTCTCACTATAGTAATTTCCATGAAAAATCACCTTTCATAATTATTATCTTTCTTTGTACTAATCTTATCTT